TAAAAGGTCTAGTATACATACAACTGGAGTCCCAGAAGTAGAGGAAAGAAAGGACTAGGAAAAAAAAGTAAAGAAATAAGGGCTCATATTTACTGAAAGTCATTCATTAAATAATTTATGAAATCCAGTGAGCCCCGAGTAGAATGAACACAAAGAAGACTGTGTATAGGCAAAGCCGAATCAGTTTGTATACAAGCAAAGATAAAGAATAAATCTTGAAAGCAGACAGAGAAATTAAAGAAATAACAGTAGAGTTTACTATCTATAGAGGCACTAAAACAGTGGGCCAGTAACTGTAAAGTACTGAAATAAAAAGCACAATCTGTCCATCCTGGATCCTACTGAAGCTCATATTCACTCAAGAATGAAGTGAGGTGAGAGTCAGGGGGCATTTTCAGATAAGCACAACTGAAGAGATTTTATTGTTTGCTGATGGCACTACAGGAAGTGTTAAATGAAGTTCTTCAGGCTGAAGGGAAATTATGCCAGAGGAAAATTTGGATCTTCAGGAAGGAATGAATAGCACTGGAAATGGTAAATATGTATATAAATAGGAAAGGCTTTTTTTTCTTTCTAATTCCTTTCAAATCCATGTGACTATTTAAAGGAACATTATAGTGTGTTTTGGGGTTTATTAATAGCTAACATTTACAAAAGTTACACTAGAAAGAATAAGCATGGTCCAGCTGGTGGCATAGTGGTTAAGGCAGCTGGATCCCATGTGGATGACCAAGCTGTTCGACTCCCAAACCTGGCAGCTTGAAAAATATGATGTGTTTTTCCATGTGGCCATCCTCCCTAAGAGGTGATTTCTCAATTTCTCTCTAGTGAGTACATGTGCCCTACAGCAAACTAAGAAAAAAAAAAAAAGGGAACCAGCAGTTAGCGTAATGGCTATGTTGCTGGACTCCCATGTAGTCAACCGCGGTTCGCTTCCCGGACCCAGGGGCTTAAAACTCATGCCAGGCACGTGTGCGTGCGTGCCCAAGATCCGGAGAGGAGAATGGAGGAGAAGGGGGTTGCGGCGTGACCGTCCCCCCGGGGGGTGGTTTCTCTCTTTCTGTTCTATGTCTCTGTCTGTCTGGCGAGTGCACGCACCCTATAGCGAAAATCTCACCAAAAAAGAAAAAAAAAAATGGATAAGAATGGGACCAGCAGTGGCATGGAGTTTAAGATGGCTGGCTTCCACATGGCAGACACCGGCTTGAGTCCCGGACCTGATGGCTTGAAAACACACTGTAGGCTGTAGAATGGAGTGGCCAGTGTTCTGCAGAGTAACACACCTATGTTTTATTGTGACTACCATGATCCCTACCTCAGCCTCGGCTCTCCACCTATTAGAAAGACACACTAAGGTTCTGAGAAATGGAAAGAATGTGAAAGACGACCATCAGAAATGGATGGAAGAGCAGGCTCAGAGCCCGATCGACAAAACAACAGCTGCGTTTCCAAGGGAGAGACCATCTACTCCATTTTCTATTCCTCCTCCTACAGGGGTGATGATCTCACCTCCCTGCTGTCTCCTAGGTCCTCCTCACACTGGCAGGATGCCAGCACCCCATAAGGGGGACCCTCCCATGATGCCAGTGATGGGCCCTCCTCCTCCTGGGATAACACTAGTAGAACACACTCCTGGAATGAGGCCATGGGGGGTGGGGGGACATGCCTCTGATGCGTGGGCCCTTAATGATGAGACCACTTGCCCATCCCATGATGGTGCCCACTAAGCCAGGACTGACTCTGCCAGACAGATGAAGATAGACGGGAGGCCTCTTTATGTCAATTTTATATTGGCTTACTCTACTTCACCAGGGGATCACAGTGCTGTGATCCTGGGTGTTTTCTAACAGCATGACAAAGATGACTTTCTCCTCCTTCCTATTAAAAAAAAATAGTTTTGGAGGAGAGAGACAAAAAAGTATAGTTTTCATTTGTATGGGGAAACCTGAAAATAAAATAGTCAACTCTTTTAATTAAAAGAAAGAGAGAAAGAAAAACACATAGGACACATGTTCATGTGTGCCCCAAATCCTTTTTTTAAATTTAATTTTATTTATTACCATAATCTTTTTTATATTATGTTAAATCACATATATCTTTACAGTGTATTGTATTTCTTTTTCTAGCATGATTACCATGCATATCAGTCAAGACAAAGACATTACTATCCACATCATCATCAAATAGCTTTTCATCATTTTTTTCAGATTATTATTATGATTGTTTATTCTCATTATTTTTTTTTAAATATTCAATCACTATATGTCATTTGGCTTGTATAAAGAATTTGCTCAACATAAAATATTTCTGAACAGTCCAGTTGAGAATACTATACATGTTATCATCAACAGATATTAAACCATTTCTGTGTCCCATTAATACCATGCCTCGCTATTAGTTCTTTTGTTATCTTTCTCTATACTCTTTTCTTCTACCCCCCCATTCCACACTGTCTTCAGCATCCATAACTATTTTCTCTGCTTTTATGTCCTCCAGTATTTTGATCTCTACCATAAAGTGTGGATAGTCGGTATATATTAAGCGGATACATACTATATCTTTCTTTCATAGCCTGGCTTTCTTCACTCAGAAATAGATCCTCTATATTTGACCACTTTCTATCGAATGCTAGGGTCTTGTTTTTTATGGCTGAGTAGTAGTCCACAGAGTATATGTGCCACACTTTTTCTATCCATTCATTTGTTTGTGGACATTTGGGTTGGTTCCATGTCTTAGCAATCATGAATAATGCTGAAATAAACATTGATGTGCAAGCACTTTTCCAACTAAGCATTCTCCTGTCCTTTGGGTAGGTACCCAGAAGTGGGATTGCTGGATCCAATGGTAGTTCTATTTGTAGATCTTGGAGGCGCCTCCATATTGTTTTCCATGGTATATAATCAAAATCCTGAAAGGAGAATAGAGGGAGAAGGAATTGTGGCATGGCCACTCCTCCCCACCCCCCGGGGAGATTTCTCTCTTTCCTTCTCTCTCTCTCTCTCTCTCCATTTCACTCTGGCTAGTGCACGTGCCCTATAGCAAACTAAAAAAAAGAAGGAGGAGGAGGAGATGAAGAAAATAGGCCTATAGAGTTGTAAGGTTTTTAAATTTTTGTGATATGATATAATACTATATAAAATGTTAAATATGTGTATTGTCTATACAGCCACTGCTAAACACACACACACACATACACATAAAGAAGTATAACTTAAAATTAATCAATAAATTACAATGGAATTCTAAAAAAAGTCTCATTAACCCAAGAGAAAACAGGACAAGGACAAAATCTGGGAAGATGGCAAGAAAACAAAACAGGGACCAGGAGTTAGCATAATGGCTATGTCTCTGAAATCCCATGTAGTTGACTGCGGTTTGCGTCCTGGACCCGGTGGCTTAAAACTCACGCCTGGCGCGTGTGCGTGTGTGCCCAAGATCCTGAGAGGAGAATGGAGGAGAAGGGATTGCAGTGTGGCCATCCCCCCTGGGGGGTGATTTCTCGCTTTCTGTCTCTCTGTCTTTCTCTGTCTGTCTGGCAAGTGCACGCTCCCTATAGCAAAAACCTCTCCAAAAACAAAACAAAACAAAATAAAACATTGGGACTAAATCCAACCATATCCAAATAATTTTGTTAAATATAAATGAATTCAAGGTAAAAGTGATTGAGGGACCAGCTGGTGGCACAGTAGTTGGGGCTCTAGCCTCCCACATGGGTGACCCTGGTTCAAGTCTTGGACTTGGTGGCTTGGGAATCATGCCAGGCCCATTTGTGTGGTGCCCAGAGTCCTGAGAGAAGAATAGAGGACAACAGACTGTGGCGTGGCCATCTCCCATGGGGAATGATTTCTCTTTCTTTCTCTCTTTCTATTCCTGGCGAGCACACAAGTCCTATGGCAAAAAACTTAAAAAAAAAAAAAAAAAAGAAAAAAGAAAGAAAGGCAGACAAAACTGATAAAAATACAAGATTTTTATTGTATTCAATTGTATGCTATCTATAAGTAAGCCATTTTAAGTACAACGACATTAAAAATCAATGGATAGACATATACCACCCAAATAATAAGCATAAGGTGGCTAGATTGGCTACATTAATATCAGATAGAATAAATTGTTAGATAAAGAAATCAAGAGAGCCATCATAATGATAAAATGGTCAATTCTTAACTGAGCAGTCTTTAATATCCATGGTCTTAATTAGAGAACTTGAAAACATATAAAGCAAAAATTGACAGATTATAGGGAGAAACAGACATATCCACTGTCATTGTGGGAAAATTTAACACTTCCTTCCGAGATGACAGAACTCAGATACAAATTTAAGTAAAACCATAGAAGACATGACCAGCACTCTCAATCACCTTGATGTAATTAATATTTAGGCCACAGTATCCAGTAACCGAGAAGTATATATTTTTTCCAAGTGCATATGGTACACACATCAACATAAATGATATCCTGGGCCATAAACCAAGTCCTGATAAATTCATAAGGTCTAAAATGATAGAGAGTATATTTGCTGATCTCAGTGGAATTGAATTAGAAATTTAAAGCAGTAGCATATCTATAAAAACCTCAAATATTTGAAAATGAACCCATTTACTGGCTCTTTCTTTAATCACTCAAATCTCAGCCTGTTTTACCTCCTCAACGAGGTCTTCCAGGACTGCTGACTTTAGGTCAACTTCCCCGTCAAGTCCTCCTACGTCAGTCTGCTTTTGTTGTAGTGCCACCTGCACTATCAGATATTGTTACTGTTTCTCCACTGGTTTAGCTGTTTCCTAGCAAGTTGGTTCTGAGAGGCTATCACCCTTGTCTCAGTTGTTCACTGCTAGAGTGATCGTTGAGGCACAGTAAACGTTCCATAGGAATTCTTGGATGAACAAAGAGTAAATCTGAGTCATCGATGATGACATCACCACCACTAATAATAAAAATACTATCCTAGGAGTGTTATCACGACTCGAGCGCTTTAAACGCCCTATCTCATTTACTCCTTACAGGTGCCTGGGCAGTAGTTACTTCTGCTATTGCCATCTTTCAGAGGAGGGACTGAGATACGCAGATTAAATATGGGAACTGATGTCGCTTGGCAAGGTAAGGGGATAAGCCGGGATTCCAACTCAGGTTCTCTGATTCCAGAGCATTTGACCTGAGCAGCTAGTAGGAAATCTGTGAGGGACGAAAGGAAGACTGGCGGTTGTGTATGTGCATTTGTAAACGAGCTCTCATAGCTTTGTCTAGTCTTGTCCTCTGTTTCAAAGTAACAACTGACTTAACTAAAAATATGGAAGACTCTTCTCCGTTTTCAAGTCAGTGGTGGTGGTTTTTGCTCTGTGTTTTGGTGTCTCCAGCACTAATAACGGCAGCATTTTAAACCACAGAGAAAGGATAGACTTGTCAACACATGGTATTGACACAACGGATAAATATTTAGAAAATAAAAGTCGAGTCCTACTTTACATAATAATCCGAACAAATTCTAAAAGAATGAAAGATTGAAATTTAATTTGTGAAACCATACACAAATACATTAGGAGAAAATGTGGGTGAATATTTAGGTGTGGATAGGGGTGGCCTTTCTAAGTGTGGTAGGATATCCTAGTTGCACCTGAACTGAGGGGTCAGCAGGTGGCATGGTAGGAAGGATGCTGGTCCCACATGGCTGACCACAGTGTGAGTCCTGGACCTGGTGGCTTGAAAATCACTCTGGGCCCTTGTGTGTGCATGCCTAAAGTCCCTGGAAGAGAATGGAGGAGAAGGGATTGTGGCATGGTCATCCCATCCGGTGGGTGGATTCTCACTTATTAACTCTCTAGCAAGGACACAGGCCCCACGGGGAAAACCTAAACCAAAACAAAACCTGAACCAGAATTTGAATGTCTTTCGGTGATCTTGTGGCCAGTGCAGAAGTGCAGCAAAGGATCTGGAGGGCTAGGAAGTCATTCCTTCATCTGTCTTTGGTTCAGCCTCTCCCATTGCCTTCGCAGCTATTCAGCCTTCTTCAGTCTTAGCAGATGATTCATTCCTGTGTCCAGAGGAAAAAGAGATCAGGGGTTTTAAACTATGACACGGTGAATCCCATCATTCATCTTTTTTCTCTTGGGTTTCAGAGAAAGTAGTGTTCATCTTGTCCTAAATGAATCTCTCTGTGAATACTATTTATTAATGTATGGTGAGAAGTATTGCTATCAAGCACACAGGAATGCGATGCATTCTCTCCCTTAAAGACAGTGACGTGGAACCATGGTAATCTCCAGGTCTTCTTGTGGACTAAGATCTACTCCAGCAGGGGATGTGAATTGGATGATCTTTATTCATATGTTTATTTAAAAATGTTTGCTATAGGATGTGTGCACTCACTGGAGAGAGACAGAAAGAGAGAAATAGTGACTCTCAGAGACATTTTTGCTACAAGGTGCAGGCACTAGCCAGACAGACAGAAAGTGAGAAATCACCCCTCGGGGAGATAGCCATGTCCAATCCCTTCTCCTCCATTCTCTTCTCGGGATTTTGGGCACACATGCGCACACACCTGGTGTGAGTTTCAAGTCACTGGGTCTGGGACTTGAGCTGCAGTTGACTACATAGAAGTCCAGCCACATAACCATTATGCTATCTGTTGGTCCCAAGAGACAGTAACTCTCAACAGGGTCTTCACACCATGGTTGACATGTTTCGGCTGATCTGGATGGTGGGCACATGTACACACCCTGCATACTTAGGGAGTGCCAGGTTGCAGAACCAGGCCCTATCCTTGTGGGTCTAGTTGCTTTACCACTGTGCCACTACCTGCCCCACTCCTAGTATTTCTTTGATAATTTTGTTATTCAAGTGTTCATTCCTAAATGCTATAACTTTGTTTTTCTCACTTAAAAAAAAAAGCTTATACGACTACAGATTCCTTGCCATTCTTTTCTTTTCCTTACAATTTATCTGTTGAAAAATTTGAGGTATTTGATCTGTAGCAACTCACTGTCTGAATTTGGTCGATTGTAATCCCATGGTACATTTCAGCATGTGTCCCTGCAAATTGGGCTTTATTGGACTTCTGCTCAATCTCTTTGGCAAGACCCTAAGTGAGACTGTAATCCTTATTTATTTACTTATTAGGGTCCCCCCACCCCCAATAGGGCATGAGTGCTCATTAGAGAGACGGAGAGAGTCAGAAAGGGAAAGTGAGGAATCACCCTCTATGGGAGATGGTCATGTTGTAATCTCTTCTCGTCCATTCTCAGGAGTTTGGGAATGCATACTCGTACGCCCAACATAATTTCAAGCTGCCAGGTCCAGGACTTGAACCACAGTCAGCCATGTAGAAGTCCAGCACCTTAACCACTTCGCCATCTACTGGCCCTGGGACTATAATCCTTTATTGGGAGATACATGATGTCCAATTGTTTTCTTTTTAAAAATTTTTTTTATTTGTCCTTAAATTTTTTTTTTTTAAATTTTAAATTTGCTATGGGGCATGCATGAGAAAGAGAAAGTAAGAAAGTGAGCAGCCAGGTCTAGGACTGGAACCACGATTGGCCACATGGGAGTCCAACGTCCCCAACCATCACAGCACCCACTGGCCCCCAGACTGGTTATTTTTTCAGAATGTTAGTATTCGTTCATACACATTTGTCTAGATTTGGATACATTGGGGTTATAGATTAGTGATACTCTAGCTCCTTTTTTATTTTTCATTTACTCACTGGAATACTTTTGTTATGAAGAGGTGCTTTACTTGGTGAATTATTTCCTTACAAAGAGGCACAGTTGGAAATTCTGAAAAATGCTTTTTGAATTTACCAAGTTTTGAAAATAGTCTGTCACCATCAAAAGGAAACTTTTTAAGGTAACTCTGAACGCGTGGAAGTGTCTCCTCCTTAGGAGGTGAGCCAGGTTGTTCACCAAGCTGCCAAACCTCCAGAGTCACACGCTGTCATTTCTACAGCATTTCATTGTTGAAAGCAAGTTACAAGGTCAGCCCAGACACGAAGAATGGAAGGATAGACTCCAGCTCTTGATGGGAGGCGCGCCAAAGGATTTGTCACCGTATTTAATCAGGGATATCTGGTTTAGCTGTGTCCACCATGCTTCCCCCATGTTTTGCTACCAATAGAGTCATACAGATTCAAGTACTATACCACCACCAGTGTCTTGTAGGAAGCCTCCCTCTGAATCTTCTTTTTAAAGAATTATTTATTTATTTTTATTTATTCATTTTTTAAAATTTGACTGGAGACACAAACACACACGGAGAGAGAGAGAAAGAGATAGAGAGAGAGAGAAAGAACGCGCAGGCGAGAGAGGGAAAGTGAGAAAGCAAGCCACCAGTGAGAAAGGAAGTCATCCTAACCAGTTAACCAGTTGACTATGTGGGAGTGTCCAGCACCTTAACTACCATGGCACAGGCCGGTCCCTGAATTATTCTTTTTTAAAAAATTATTTACTGGGGCCAGCTGGTGGTGTAGCGGTGAAGGGCACTGGGCTCCCACAGGGCCGACTGTGGTTCGAGTCCCAGACCTAGCAGCTTGCTTTCTTGCCTTCTCTTTCTCTTTCTCTATGTCCCTCTCTGGTTAAATTAAAACATAAATAGCGCACACACCTGGTGTGAGTTTCAAGTCACTGGGTCTGGGACTTGAGCTGCAGTTGACTACATAGAAGTCCAGCCACATAACCATTATGCTATCTGTTGGTCCCAAGAGACAGTAACTCTCAACAGGGTCTTCACACCATGGTTGACATGTTTCGGCTGATCTGGATGGTGGGCACATGTACACACCCTGCATACTTAGGGAGTGCCAGGTTGCAGAACCAGGCCCTATCCTTGTGGGTCTAGTTGCTTTACCACTGTGCCACTACCTGCCCCACTCCTAGTATTTCTTTGATAATTTTGTTATTCAAGTGTTCATTCCTAAATGCTATAACTTTGTTTTTCTCACTTAAAAAAAAAAGCTTATACGACTACAGATTCCTTGCCATTCTTTTCTTTTCCTTACAATTTATCTGTTGAAAAATTTGAGGTATTTGATCTGTAGCAACTCACTGTCTGAATTTGGTCGATTGTAATCCCATGGTACATTTCAGCATGTGTCCCTGCAAATTGGGCTTTATTGGACTTCTGCTCAATCTCTTTGGCAAGACCCTAAGTGAGACTGTAATCCTTATTTATTTACTTATTAGGGTCCCCCCACCCCCAATAGGGCATGAGTGCTCATTAGAGAGACGGAGAGAGTCAGAAAGGGAAAGTGAGGAATCACCCTCTATGGGAGATGGTCATGTTGTAATCTCTTCTCGTCCATTCTCAGGAGTTTGGGAATGCATACTCGTACGCCCAACATAATTTCAAGCTGCCAGGTCCAGGACTTGAACCACAGTCAGCCATGTAGAAGTCCAGCACCTTAACCACTTCGCCATCTACTGGCCCTGGGACTATAATCCTTTATTGGGAGATACATGATGTCCAATTGTTTTCTTTTTAAAAATTTTTTTTATTTGTCCTTAAATTTTTTTTTTTTAAATTTTAAATTTGCTATGGGGCATGCATGAGAAAGAGAAAGTAAGAAAGTGAGCAGCCAGGTCTAGGACTGGAACCACGATTGGCCACATGGGAGTCCAACGTCCCCAACCATCACAGCACCCACTGGCCCCCAGACTGGTTATTTTTTCAGAATGTTAGTATTCGTTCATACACATTTGTCTAGATTTGGATACATTGGGGTTATAGATTAGTGATACTCTAGCTCCTTTTTTATTTTTCATTTACTCACTGGAATACTTTTGTTATGAAGAGGTGCTTTACTTGGTGAATTATTTCCTTACAAAGAGGCACAGTTGGAAATTCTGAAAAATGCTTTTTGAATTTACCAAGTTTTGAAAATAGTCTGTCACCATCAAAAGGAAACTTTTTAAGGTAACTCTGAACGCGTGGAAGTGTCTCCTCCTTAGGAGGTGAGCCAGGTTGTTCACCAAGCTGCCAAACCTCCAGAGTCACACGCTGTCATTTCTACAGCATTTCATTGTTGAAAGCAAGTTACAAGGTCAGCCCAGACACGAAGAATGGAAGGATAGACTCCAGCTCTTGATGGGAGGCGCGCCAAAGGATT